CGCCAGCTGCTCCATACGACCACGGTCCTTCACCAGACGCATCAGCTTAGTGCCCAGCCTGAAGGAGGAGGAGGAGGAGAGGAGGAGGAGGAGAGAGGAGAGGAGAGGGAGAGAGGAGAAGGAGAGAGGAGGAGGAGAGAGGATGAGAGAGAAGGAGGAGGAGGAGGAGGAGAGAGGAGAGAGGAGAGGGAGAGAGGAGAGAGGAGAAGGAGAGAAGATGAGAGAGAAGGAGGAGGAGAGAGGATGAGAGAGAAGGAGGAGGAGAGAGGAGAAGAGAGAGGAGAAGGAGAGAGGAGAGAGGAGAGAGAAGGAGGAGGAGAGAGGATGAGAGAGAAGGAGGAGGAGAGAGGAGAAGAGAGAGGAGAGAGGGAGAAGGAGAGAGGAGGAGAGAAGAGAGAATGAGAGGAGGAGAGAGGAGGAGGAGAGAGGAGGAGAGGAGGAGGAGGGGGGGAGAGGAGAGGAGAGGGAGAGAGGAGAAGGAGAGAGGAGGAGAGGAGGAGGAGAGAGGATGAGAGAGAAGGAGGAGGGGGGGGAGGAGGAGGAGAGGAGGAGGAGAGAGGAGGAGGAGGGGGAGAGGAAGAGGAGAGTGGAGGAAGAGGGGTGTGATGAGGAAAAGAAAGGAGAAAGGAGAGAAGGAGGAGAAAGAAGAGAGAGGTGGAGAGAGGAGAGGAAAAGGAGAGGAGACAGAAGGAGAGAGAAGAAAGAGGGAAGACAAAAGAGAGGAAAGAGAGATGAGAGGAGGAAAGGAAAGACAAGAAAATAGAGGGAGAAAGGAAAGGAAAGGAAGAAAGGAAAGTGATGAAGGCAAAGGAGGAAGAGAAGGGAGGAAAAGAGGGAGCATGTGGAGGTGAAGAAGTTAAAGAACAGAGATGAGGAGGAGGAAAAGGAAGCAGAGGAGAGATTAGAGGAGAAACTGAAGAGTGTGGTCTGAGAGGTCAGCTGTGTGTGTGTGTGTGTGTGTGTGTGTGTGTGTGTGTGTGTGTGTGTGTGTGTGTGTGTGTCCCTCACTTCTTGATCTTGTCCTCCTGTTTGTTGTTGTGCTGTTTGAGCAGCAGCGTCTCCTCATGGAGGCGCAGGAACCGGTCCTCCAGCTCCTCTCTGGACACCCGAGAGATGTCCTGTCGGGTCCGAGCATCCTGATACACCCACGGATCTGAACCACCTGAACAGGAACGAGTTATGTTTACATTATCATGGATCTGGATTCAACAAGATACCTGTAACATCTCAGCAGCAGATAAGAGAGACGACACCAAGGAAGGAGAAACCAAATAAAGCTCATTAAATATTCAGGTTTATCATTTTAGATTCTGGTCCGTCATTCAGTGACTGTCATTTAAATCTTAGAACATATGTCATTTCAATGATATATGCATGTTAAACATTAAGAGGAACACACAAACTAAATGAAGATAAATGTTGTTTGGATCATATCAGACCTTGTGGAGCTCCAGAGAGTCTGGACAGATTCACTGTGATGTCTCTGACCGGCACATCAGCCGATGTCTCATCCAACAGAGTGGACATTCTTAATCTGAAAATACATCAACGATTAGACACAATTTCATGTTACTAATACAGGTACAGTAAACGCAGCACCAGACTCCTTTAAAAATCTGGAAGATTCTAACAAATGTCCCTGTAGGGGTTAGAAATGCGAACCGGGAAAAGAAATAACACTTTCCATTATAGTTTTTTATCTACTCATGTGTTCGGCAACAAAATCCTTTCACTCAAACCTCATTTAGAGATTGACTGTGGATGACTCACTGCTGTATCGTCTGTCATTCAGTAGAAATATCGGCAGCAACACCGGGAAATCTGATCATAACAGTGTTATTTTAACGCTGACATAGAAGATATAATCCGTGTTATTGTATGCCGAATTAAAGCTGAATATGCCATGATTTTAGAGTGCTTCACACCCACATGTGAGAGACTTTGAAACGTTGTTTTGGCCGGTGAGGAGAAAAAACCGCAGGAACTTGAATGTAGTCTGGCGTCACATCCTGAGCACTGATTTAAAAATATCTCAGCCAAACAACGTAAAAAAAAACAGACCCGAGGTTCATTAACAGCTCTGAATTTCTAAGTTAATCGGTTGATATGTGATAAATAATGAAGTTTTTACATGTTTTCAGGTCTCAGAGATACAAGTTTGAATTCGCGGTCCGTTAACAGAAGCTACAGTTAGCTTAACTCTGCACTCCTCCGGCAGATAAAGCCTCAAAAACTTCACTTTTCCAACTGAAATGTCACAAAACTGATGTGTTCCTCTAGCATTATTAAAAAAATTAATCCATTCTTGAGAGTAAATCTTTTTCTTACCTTATATGACGGCTTTATTCAGCCTGAAGCGACGGTTGCTACTGAAAACATAACAACGGTTCATGTCGTTATGACACCAGTACGCCTGCGCCGTCTGAAGAGGATTATGGGAGATGTAGTTTTCTTTGCACTTTTTCTCTTTTTGCCTTTACCTGCCCCATACTCTCACCTGACTTGTTTCTCTGTCCGTTTCTGGGTGTAAAATTAAACATTTTATTAGACTAGAACAGATTCACTCAGACAGAGGAATACTGTGTGTTTGGTTTTGTTTGTGTGATTTCTACCTTGATTTTGTTCTTGTCTCTGAGTTTTTGGGGTGTTTTCCTGCTGTAGCGCCCCCTCTGTGTGTTTCCAGCAGCTCTTTTTCAGCTGCTTGCATTACCTTTACCCATGACTCCCTCCAGGAGGGACATTTCACCAGTTTGAGTCTGCTCTGACTTTACATGCCGGCGTATTTATGAGCAGCTCCCTTGTATACATACATACATATATATATCTATATCCGGGTGTATTTGACGGGCACGCTGTCAGCTGTCTGCCCTTCATGAATCAGCGATGGGTCTAATTTATCAGCCTGAGCAGAGCGGTAGGACTGGACAGAATGAGTTCAGAGTACATGTCAGACTCACCGGGTCGGAACAGTCTCCCATCACTGCTGCTCCTCCCAGCCGTAACCTTTGACCCCCCTCTCCCTCTCTGCAGGCCGGGCTGCGGCGGTAAAATGTGCGTCTGTCAGAAAAGCAGCCTGTCGTTGAAATCCATGATGCCTGCAGACCTTCTGTTCAGCAGGCCGTGTTGGTCTGTCAGAGTCCTGATCAGAGGAGCGTGGACTCAGAGATTGTAATATAAGCAGATTCACCTTCAAACAGCCTCGGAGTTCAGGCTGAGACACTGTCGGGAAATATCACAGAGAGAAGAGGACTTTGACTGAAACTCTCCGTTATTTTAACCTCACAGCTGCAGGTCCACGTCCAAATCTGAGTTTCAGTTTGAAGGTGATGGACAGCTCTCTGATGTGCAGAAATGTGAATAATTATTGATATCTAACGGTCAGATCCTCGACTGAAAGGCTCCCTGCTGGTGAAGGGACGGTGGCCTTTGAAGGACAAAAGGCTCCTGTGATACAGAGTACGTTTGAAGGTTCGACCATCAGGATGTCTCTCAATACTAATTCTCTGAACTTCTCGTGGTCAAACAAACAAAACGGTTTTTATTTTCCGGTGATGAAACAGGAACTTAAACAAACGTATTAAAATCCCATTTATACAATAACTCTAAATAAAAACTACGTACTGCACCTTTAAACTCTTAGGCTGTTATTGCAGCTGAAGCCGGTCCTCTGAGCTGGTCTAACTCTGAACATCTGCTCCACTCTTGGTCCACGTGTAAATGAAGTTTCTGAGGAGTTCAGAGGAGAACGACATCTGAACCATAAATCCACGTGAAGGTCAGACGTCTTTGAATCGAACTCCTCTGAAGTGATTTTCAGACTCTAACTGAACTCTGGACTGTGAGGACAGTTTAAAGAGTGTAGATGGAGGGTGAGTTAGAGCTCTGCTGGATCAGGGACCAGGACGACGGTCTCTGATGGGACACTAGGTGGCAGCTTCTCATCATGACTGAGGAGCTCAGCGGCGTTGGCGGCGGCGTGGTCGTCTCAAACCTCTCTGTGAAATAAAGCTGTGGGATAAAAGAGGACGAGTCTGAACATTTGTGTTTCATCAGACTCTGAAGCTCGAGGTGAATTTATTTCTACAGCAAAACCAACAAAAGAGAGCTGAGCATTATGGGAAATAACCTCCTAAAAACAAAGTGAAGCGGCTGATGGACGAGAGAGGAACCAAATAAACTAAGAATAAATAAAAACACAGTAACATGATCATTATTCTGGATTATTCTGATTTTAAAATCATTTAAATTTGAACATTTTCATGTTTTTTTGTGTGTTTTTTTCCTCTCTTGTCTGTATTTTATTTTTATTTTATAAATATACAAAAACTCCTAAAAAGCATCAAAATAAACATCTTTAAATGTTGATTTGAAGTGAAGCTGAATAAATCAGCGGTGTTTATTTTAATAGAATAACACTGAGTGATTTTTCAGGTTTTCTCACGTTCACATGTGCTGATCAACAATCAGACTTCTGAGACCAGATTCAGGTCAGACCGGACTCAGGTGTGAGGGTCTGGGTCTAAGGACGGTGGTCTTCAAAGATCTTAGTGAGACAAAAACATTCAATTCAATTAAAAACTTTATCTTAATGAGGAGGAAATGATTTTATAGATTAACTTTAAGTTTTTACAGCCTCAGGTGAATCCATCACTAACACAATAAGACCTCTTTAACAGTGAGTCCACTAAAGACGGGTCTGAGAGGGGAGCTGGTCTCAGGTCTGTCCTCCTGGGTCTCTCTGAATAAAGAGTCCTCCTCCTCCTCCTCCTCCTCCTCCTCGTCGCTCAGATTAAACATGTTTTCACTTCACACTCTCTCTGAGTCGATCCACACGCTGATGTACTGAGAGGTCACTTTGACTCGTCTTCACTTATTACTGGAATTTAACCCCCAAACCCCCACGAGACTGAACAGACCCCCACACTCTCAAACCACTCCTAAAAACACACCTTTATAAATGGTCTTTTTACCTGTAGACTCTTATTTTATTGTCTTTTCATACTGTGTCTTAATTAACAACACCAAATATTGTACACAATATTGACATTTCACACTAAATCAATAATCATGTTGAATATTGACTGAAAAGGCAGAAACAGACTGATTCTAAAAGTCGATCCTGTGTTGTCGACTTTTCAGTCTACCGACCTCCAGAAGAGCAAAGAAACCAGAACAACAGAGAATTAATCGACTTATAAGCTTCAAAAATAACTTTACAAACTATTTTCCTAAAAACAGAAAAAGACTGACATGTTTTTAGATTTATGTCGGCATCATTACAGAGTTTAACTCCAGTAACAGAGACACGGCTCCTTTCAGACCTTTTTTAGTTTTTTGTTCTGAGATTATACCGACTGTCCTGAAGTGAAAAGAACCTCTGTATTCAGTCAGGGAGCAGTTTTTGATTTTCTGTATTTTAAATTGTTTTTTTTTTCTTTGTAAAGCGTCTTTGAGCAGCTGTAAAAGTGCGTTATAAATAACATTTATTATTATTTAAAATAATGTCATGATATGACTAAATGTGGTCCTTTTCCTCAGAGATGAGTGTAAATGTCAGATTCTGAGGTTTTTAAAAGGAACAGATATAATAATATATATTATATTTAATTTAGTAATTATATATAATTATTAAATTAAATATAATAATATATATTATATTTAATTTAATAATGATATATAATTATTAAATTAAATATAATAATATATATTATATTTAATTTAATAATTATATAAAATTACTAAATTAAATTTTATAATATATATTATATTCAATTTAATAATTATATATAATTATTAAATTAAATATAATATATATTATATTTAATTTAATAATTATATATAATTATTAAATTAAATGTTATAATATATATTATATTTGATTTAATAATTTTTATATTTGATAATTATGTGTGTTTGAGTTTTCGGCTCCATCATCATCCTGCAGATCTCCACTGAAGGGAGAAGCTGTGAGAGGTTACCGTGGAGATCCATCCTGAACTGGACATTTACACATAGACCTTCATATATATATATGAATATTATAAATGAAGGCAGTCCGAGTCAGCAGAGTGAGACCCAGGACTCTGATCCTGCAGACCCCTGAATGAAGTCAAGTGGACAGACTCTGACCCGGCTCGGCTAACAGAACCTCAGACAGTCTCTTCCTCTCATCCTTTATCTCATTACACAACATCAACACCAGTCAGGTCCTCCTCCTCCTCCTCCTCCTCCTCCTCCTCCTCCCGCTGCCGTGGTCCCGCTCAGATTAATGATGGTGGGGGGCTCGGCCTGGCAGGCGGAAACGTGCCGCCACAATTAGACCGCCATCGAAATAACAACCCGCCAAATGTTCCTGTCAGCCCTCGGGTTTAATTGCCTTGGCTCCGGTGCCAACTATAATCACCTGTCACGGAAAACACGGCCGCATCTGTTTACACGTCTGTTTAAAGGGGGAGGGGGGCGGCAGAGGAGGGCACGACCCCGGACACAGAAGGTCAAACGTCCCCCAGCTTTGGAGGGGGGTTTAAGGCCTCTGCAGCGCCCTGTTTTTGTGTTTACTGCGACCCGAGGAAGTTTTAATATTCAGTGACCGACAGAAACAAAAACCCAAAACCACCAAAGATTATCACAGTCATAATAATAATAATAATAATAATAATGATAATAATAATAATAATAATAATAATAATAATAATAATAATAATAATAATATAATAATAATAATAATAATAATAATAATAATAATAATAATAATGATAATAATAATAATAATAATAATAATAATAATAATGATAATAATAATAATAATAATAATAATAATAATAATAATAATAATAATAATAATAATAATATTGATATTATTATTATTATTATTATCATAATTATTACGACACTGTCAGAGTTCAGTGACGTCTGTTATTTCACCTGCAGGCTACAGTTCATTTACCTGAGCAGGTTATGAACAGTGAAATCTGTCTGATCTGTTATGGATCAGACCAGGACTCTAATGATGATGATGACGATGATGATGATGATGATGATGATGATGATGACGATGATGATGATGATGATGATGAAGATGATTATCACAGTCTGTTGGGGTCCAAACAGCTGAGCAGCTCCTTCAGGTTTAAATTCATCTGAATTTAAAGGGTTATTCTGTGTTTACGGCTGAAGTCACATGGACATACTGTTGAGTTTACTCAGGTCACACACACACACACACACACACACACACACACACACACACACACACACACACACACACACACACACACACACACACACACACACAGACTCCTGATCTGACCCCCCACTCGTCCACCAGAAGTGGCCTCTGACAGGAGCAGCTGGTCCCCCCTCCACCCCCCACACCTCAGCAGATTGATGAAATTTTCGGAGTTCACCTTCATCCTGATTAACGAGCAGATCCTCAGAGAGCGGGACCGTCGACACCGGACCTTCAGAACCGACTGTAAGAACATTTCTGATCATTTCTTCATCAGACCGAGACGCTAAGACAGAAGAACTACCGCGTCTGTAAAATGATTAATATGGTGATTATTACTTCAAGGAAATGATAAAGAAATGATCATAAATGTTCTTCCTTGAGCTGCGGCACCCCGCTGTAGTCCGTAATGGACTGGCCTGAGGTCTCACTACAAACAAGCGTCTGCTGGAAGAGAGTAGGTGAGTTGTGTTTAGTCTCTTTGCTAAAGAAATGAGTCAAAGTTAAAAAGATGTTTGGTGTCTAGTACTATGTCTGTGACCCTATATGTCCTGTTGATGAAGTTAGGTGCTGTTCTGAGCATTATTTGTGGCTATAGAGTGGCGTTTTGGTTGGGGGCGTGGCTCTCTGTATTTCTATCCTGCGGTCGTTACTAAAGTTGGTATAACTAGAGAAGCAAGCGGTCGACAACATTCATCTCTGGAGGGGGGGTCTAACTCGGTGTTACAGTGGGTTTGACCCTAAATTAATTTAATGTTGGAATGTCCCTTTAAAGTCTTGAATCTCCAGCTGACTGTGCTGCTTGTTCTCACACAGATGAACCTGAAGCAGCAGGACTCAGACCGTCTCCTGGTCCTCAGACTGAAGGTGTGAACCACAGAGATCTGAGTCAGCGTTACGCAGCAGCTAACGGAGGATCAGTAAATCCTCACGGGTCCAGAGCGGGTCTCAGGACCAGCTGGTCGGAGGAACACATGACCGCGTCCGTCTGAGGCTGTTATTTGTCTTTAATTACGACGCCGGGACTCAGCTGACCTCGGCTAACAACATTTAATCAGCAGAGATTTGACTAATGGACTCGGTCTGATGAGCTCCGGCCTCACCCTTACAGCTTCACTGAGAGTCCCACACGGACCGGGACCGACCCGCATCGCTCTGAGCCGAGCAGGAAAACAGAGACTCACTGAGGATCAGGGGGGAGGAGACGGTGTTAGAGGTCGAACCTGAGGACCACCCAGGAGGACCTATCAGAGCTGCTCTGCTCCCTCTGAAGTCCAAAAACCCTTCAGTGTGGTTTTCCACTGGGCTCAGGTTCTGGTCCACTTTGAGTCCAGATCATGCAGACGTTTGGTTTCTCTGTTTTTATCGAACCCTCGCTCCTGTTTGGTCTCACCTCAGATGTTTCCATGACGACCCTGAAGATCAGCTGAAGAAACATTTTCTCTGTGAAGCTTTTATTTATTTTATCAAACTAAAATATCCTGTTAAAAAAAAACTAAATATCTAAAACAAAACAAAAACATTTTATACAAACTTAAAAACATTTAATCACATCCAAAAAAAAACATTTTATAAATTATTCTGAAAATATTTTTACACGATCCGACATGGATGGAGTCTGTCTGAGTTTAATGAAATCCTCTTTTTCATTAATTTTTTTTTGTTTGTTTAGCAAAAATACTTTAAGTTTCCTACAATTTTTTAATATATTCATGTTTCCTGGTATTTAAAAAATTTTCGGTTTAACAAAAAATAATTTTCAGTGATTTTTTCCAAATTGTTTAATTTTTTTTTTATGTTTTGATGTTTTTATAAAAAATGTGTTCGTTTTTTTTCAGAATATTGTGGATTCTTGAAATATTGTGTGTCTAATTCTTATTTTGTTATAAATAAATATTTTTGTGTCCACACCACGTTTGTCCCCTCAGGGCCTCCGTAGCTCTGCCTCTGTAGGTTTGTGTTTCTCAGTGGTTTGTTTAAATAACTTTTATTCTGTCATTTCTGTATTTCTGTTTTTAAACCGTCTCTCCTGTGTCTGAGTTTCCCTCACACGGTCGGTTCCCTGCAGACCGTCTCGCTGAGTTCCTGTCAGAGCTCCTCAGCTCCTCCGTTTCCTGTCCTCCTGGTTTTGTGTCTCTGAATCAAACCCTGCTCCTCTTCTCCTCTCAGTTTTATGATTAAATATCTGAGCGTCAGCCTCGTCCCCTCTCCTCCGTCTGTTGTCGTCCATTTTTAAATAAAGGTGCTAATCTCTGCAGAGCAGCTCCGTTTGTCTGAGGATCATCAGCTGATGAAGTCTGTGAGGGTGTAGAGGTGACCGTCTGAGAGTTAAGTGAGATGTTCGGAGTTTGACGTCTAACAGACTCGCAGACGGAAACATGTGGAGGTGGAGGAGACGTGTCTTTGGATCATGTGACATGAATCAGACGAGATCAGGCGTTAAAAACGACAGCAGACACTCTGTCATCTCCTCAAGTTCTCCAGTGAAACCATCTCTCTGAGGAACTTTGAGAGGAAGTCACGGGGTGACTCTTTAACTCGCTCACTCCTAAACCGTAATCATCTTTTAAGCAGCAGTCAGAGCGTTCAAAGAGACGCTGCGGTGGAACTATGTTTAATCTTTCCTCTGGGGATCATGGAGGAGCGTTTTAAAGAAGACGAGGGCGTCAATTAAGAGGAAACGAACTTCAAAATGACGACCATTAAACTCTGAAATCTTTAAAACGCTCCCTGCTGAATTGTCTTCTCAGCGGAGAAGGTTTCGAGAGAGCG